AGGTGCAAAAGAACTTTTCATACGTCTGTGCCCTCAAACCATGTTTACTCCTGTTTTTTGCTTTTAGTTTTAGCCATGGGAAACGCTTAATGTTTTTTTTGTGGGTGGGGACACTTTAAAGAATATATTTTTAGTCACCTGTATGGTTATTTGTGAAGACATCTGTTATTTTTCTAAAGTCATTTGAATTTTTAAAAAGTGTCCTATCATTTTTGTTCTTTTCATTATTTTTTTAATGTAAGGTGTGCGTTTGATTTGCACTCTCAAATTTTTAATAGTACAGTGACTTCTTATGCACCAACAACATGAACTAAACTCTTGTCTTGTGCCATTCTGTGCTGTGGCACACACACGTTTTTTGCATTGCAGAAAAGCACAATACAAACATCCCTTTTTGCTCTCTGAAGGTTGCTGCTATTGCTTTCTGGTGACTTAGTCCCAAGTTATAGTAAATATAAAAAGGTCCTCCATAAGTGATTTGTTCTTTGCATGAATGTTTCTTTAACAGTAAACCGTTTACTGCAATACTGTAAGGTTTTTAATGTGCTACAGCCTATGTGACGCACTACCTGGATAAAACGTTCTACAACCTGACGACTGTCGCTCTGCATGACTGGGCCACCTACAGTGAAATGAGAAACCTTGCTACACAGCGCTATGGACTCACAATGACAGAGGCTCATCTGCCCAGCCAGACGCTAGAGCAGGTCTGTTTGGTTACACCTCCTCCCTCATGAGCAGAGGTGGAGATTTACATAGACAAATTAACTAAATCCTCCTTGTTCTCACCAGGGTTTGGATGTTTTGGAGATCATGAGGAACATTCATGTTTTTGTCTCACGATACCTTTATAACCTCAACAACCAGGTCAGAGTCCATACGGATTTTTCTCCCATTGAATCGCAAAGTGTTGCTGCCTCTGCAGTTATAATTGTTTTTGTGACAGATCTTCATTGAGAAGGCAAGCAACAACAAGCACTTGAACACCATCAACATCCGTCACATCGCCAACTCCATCCGAACACACGGTACAGGAATCATGAACACCACTGTGAGTTTCCAGCAGAAAACAACAGCATGTGTTTTGACATTCTCATATGTGGATGTAAGGCCTGTTTTATATTTCCTCTATTCTTCCGTCAGGTGAATTTCACCTACCAGTTTCTGCAAAAGAAGTTTTACATCTTCAGTCAGTTTATGTACGACGAACACATCAAGTCCAGACTCATCAAAGACATACGTTTCTTCAGAGAAACAAAGGACCAGTCTGATCAGAAGGTGCAGTCTTCTCTGTCTTTCCATTTTCAGTCATTTTAAGTGAACAGAAGTTTGGCAGAGGGGGAAGACCCTGGAGCCAGGGAGTAAAAGTAGAGCTGTCATTGCTCGGGCTAAGCTGTCACAGTACCATATGTCTTGTCTTGTTGTTACAGTATCCGTTTGAGCGAGCAGAGAAGTTTAACCGTGGCATCAGGAAACTGGGCATCACTCCTGATGGACAGAGCTACCTGGACCAGTTTAGACAGCTGATCAGCCAGATCGGTGAGGATGCTTTTATTGGTTTCTGGTATTAAACATTAAACTGCAGTTGCATGCAAAGACAACACAATTTCACACTGTTCTTTCAGGTAACGCCATGGGCTATGTACGTATGATCCGTTCTGGAGGCCTTCATTGTTGCAGCAGCGCAATCAGGTATAATAAAAGGAATTTGAGTGAAAGTTTATATGGCTTCAGTTAGAAGGAATTACTGATATATTGTGTAAACGTGAGGTTAAATGTGATTTTACATCAGAAACATTTTTATCTTGCTATTGGAAACATTTTCTTTTTCATTATTGCTTCAGATTTGTCCCAGATCTGGAGGATATAGTCAACTTTGAGGAGCTGGTGAAAGAAGAGGGACTGTCAGAGGAGACCCAAAAGGCTGCTGGGTGAGTTATCTGTAAAAAGTCAGTCAGTCGCTTCTTGTGTGTCACTGTTTGCTGAGCAGGCCCTTTATTTTGGAAGGACAGTGCATCAATGAATTTTAAGTCATATGTCAGCTTCAGAGTGTAATCCAACAATCCTGCACCTAGCAGTTAGTGTTGTGTGCATTGCTGTTATTGTACCAGCAGGGGGCACCAAAGATAGGAAAAAGATAACTGAAGTGCTTCCCACATTGTTTTCAGTTTATCATTTAAATTGTAAAAGAAAAGGGAAAGGTTTGATGTTGATAAATTACAACTCTAAATTATAGCAAAAGAGTATGATTGTTGGAGTGATATTTTATGATTGTCAATTGTACTTAGAAACATATAATCGATTGCATAGTGATACAATGTCTGATCCTTAGTAGTCTGCAAAGAGTCTGTGTGCGTTCCAGAGTGCTCTGGCGTACCACACACATCCTAAGGTCATGAGAGAGGTCGTACCTTCTCTTTCTGAGACATAGTATGGGAGGACACCTGCTCTGTATCTGTTTGAGTACAAGGGCCCTTTGTTTAGGTGGACCGCTGGACTCCTGGCGCCAGCTTTGGGGAGTCGTTCTTGGGGTCATATTTTAAACCCCCCCCACACACACACACACACACACACACACACACACACACACACACACACAGACTGGTACTCTTTGTTCACATGCATGCCTGTTTAAGATGTCATATGTTAATGAAACCATGCAATGATGATTTGTAATGATGGAAAAAATGTAAAGGAAATAAATCACATCACATCCCGGCCAAACACCGGAGTGATCTCTGCCGATTCGCACCGCCGTATTGCAATGTTACATAAAAGTTATATGTAACATTGTTATATATAATCACAATTGAATTGAAATGAACACATACTGTATTTTTCCCATATAGTTTCATATATTATCTACTGTGGGGGTAATAAATTCAAGTTTCACCCTGCACTTTTCCAAAATATGTATTCCTTCAATGTAATTCCTTCTTTGCTGTCATTTATTTGCTTTCTATTATGATTATTATGCTTCACAGCATCCTGGACTCTGTTTTGGGAGATCTGACCAGCAACTCTGCCGAGGGGACGGAGTACTTCAAGATGCTGGTGGCCGTGTTTGCGCCTGAGTTTCGCAGTGCAAAGAACATGCACCTGAGGAACTTCTACATGATTGTACCACCGCTGGTCAGTGCTGATGCTGTTTTGCTACATGTCATGTTCTCTTCACTTGAAATCAGTTTGTACTTACTTACATTTATTGCAACAAATCTCACTCCTAGACGGTGAATTTTGTGGAGCACTCCATCAGCTGCAAAGAGAAACTCAACAAGAAAAACAAATCTGGAGCTGCTTTTACAGACGACGGCTTTGCAATGGGTGAGCAGACAAACCTGATAATACACACGGACATCCTTAATCCTTTCTTCTGTACTGGCCTTGGACGTACTCTCCTCTTTTTCTGTCCCCTCTCTGCCTCCTCTCTCAGGTGTGGCGTACATTCTGAAGCTACTGGACCAGTATCTAGAGTTTGACTCTTTGCACTGGTTCCAGTCTGTCAGAGACAAGTACAAGAAAGAGATGAATGCAGTGGTGAAAGAGCAGAGCGTTCAGTCTGCCAATCAGGATGAAAAGTTGCTGCAAACCATGAATCTCACCCAGAAGAGGCTGGACGTGTACCTCCAGGTACATTTTGGTTTCAAGAAGTTTAACTGCTGGTTGGCGTGGTTGTGAGCCTGACACTGAGATGTGTTTCTGAACTGTTTTCCCTTTTCATTTCAGGAGTTTGAGCTTCTCTACTTCTCTTTAAGCAGCGCCCGGATCTTCTTCAGAGCTGACAAGACAGCAGCTGAGGAAACTCAGGAGAAGAAAGATAAAGGTTAGCAGTTTGTGGGGTTCTTAATAAAGTCCTTTAATTATGCAAAACCACTGGCACCCTCCCACCGTCATGTATGCTTTTTGTAGATAATTTTTCAAGAGATGGAAAGATTAAAGTTGTCATTTTATTTCCAACAGAAAATGCTGCCAAAGCAGGAAGTTCTGCAGATAGTTCCACCCCCGCTGACCCTGCCTCGAAGTGAGCCTCGCTGTCAGATCACTGTCACGTACTGAAGAGGAGAGCTCAGCAGCAGGCTGCGTTCGTGTGTCCATTTCAGGGATTTAAAATAACTGGAAGATGTTGAAAACGGTAGAAAGACAATGACTTTAAAACGCTTTGTGTTCTGTCACAGCACGGTCGTCTTCATTAGACAAAGAATGTGTACTTAAAGTGCTAATCAGGATATCACCCCTGCATCTAATAACTCACTTTGTATTAGTAGCATTTACAAATGCAGCAGCGTTTTAAAAAGATGAACCGGCTTAACAAATCTAATGTAAAAGTGTATCTTTTGATATTTTTACTCAGTCTGGATGAACGTATTTTTACTACTGCACTGTCAGTCATGAACTAGTTTGGATCTTTGTTTCAATTAACTGGTGTGCTGCCTATTTGTTGGTGTCCACTGTACTTATTGTGATTCTTTATGGCCTTCAATGGAAACTTTGAAATGAAGTCTCTTGTGAATGTTTTCAATGTATAATTTCACATTTGTGTGCCATAACGGTGTACCATTTCTTGGTCCACTTTATACATTGTATGAATTAGGGCGTGTATGTGCCTTTCTAAACTGTGGATACTTGTTTTGATAACATAATTTGGAAATAATTCATCCGATGCAAAAGATACAGCGCTAAAATTAAATTATTTTATACTGCTGCTCTGAAGGTGTATCATTACATTTGTTTTCCAGTTTTGTATCTTAAGCATGTGGTACATGTGTAATTACATTCCATGTATTAACTAAAGGAATAAAAAAATAAACTTTGCATTTTCAGCAGAATTTAATGGCTCATTTCAGAGTCTGTATTAAAAGGTGTGAAAAGTCGAGTGTCTGCTGTGGATGATTTCTCTAAACTGTCTTACAAATTTGAATTTAATTTTCTCTGTTGCACTGCACAGTATTAACAAATCAGAGGCCAATTTTAGTAAGATACTCAATAAACAAGACACACGGTTCAGGAAAGCCTTTTTCTGCTTTAATACAAAGAAATTAAGATTTTAAATTCAGAAAATACAAGATTGGTCTGTTTTTTTGTTTTTTTTCCTCATGTCTTTTTTCCGTTTGCTATGAAATGCTGCTGTCCACCACTGTTCAATCAGCTTAAAATGAAATGCATCCTTTTGGTTGTGTTTGAGTCGAAATTCAGGGGATGATAATGATCTCTAGGTTTATTTAATTTTTTAATGGTGGGGCTTAGATTCAGGCCTTTCCTCATGTGACATTTTAATATTTTTTAGTTTGATGCAAGTGCCCAGTGTCATGTGACACCCTGTCCAGCAGATCCCGAAAACTCCTGTCGCATCCACATATTGCATCCATGCTTACCTCATAAAAACAAGGTACAAGTCAGGGCAAAATTTCTTCCAAAATAAATGTCATATATATATATATGTATATATATATATATATACACACACACACATACATATATGTAGCAATCATATATACACATTCGTACATACATATACTAATTTATGTGATGCAAAGAAAAAAAATGTACACATTTCTTACAAAATTGTAACAAAGACTGGAAAGAGTTCTGTTTGCTCTGGAGCAAAGTCGTGTAGATGTTCAGCCTCTGAGGACTTCTCCATCAAAGTAGTCTCCTACATTTGTGTCCATGTTTGGGCAGCACAGACGTCACAGAGAGACGAAGAAACTGTATGTGACAGAAAAGGTTTGGTGACGCAAAAACAGGGTGGAAGGATGAATGTAAATTGAAAGGAGGGAGGCTAAAAAGGTGAAACGTATAGATGTGGGAGAATTGCATGAGCTCCCTGACTCAAAACATCAACAACAAAAGAAAAGCAAATAACAATAGAAAAGAGGGGGAGAAATTATCAGGGGGTGTTCACATAAAAAAAGGACAAACAAATTTTGTGTTCTTTTATTACTAAATATAGTGCAACAATAAACATTGCATTTCTTTCACCCTTTAACTTGCTTCCTAGGATGTCAACGTTTCTTTTCCCCGTCTTTAATTCAGTTAACACTTGGTATAAATACAAAGAATAACCTTTGTTCTGTCACTGCCCTGTGCCACAAGGTCAGTCCTCCTTTCAGAGAAAAAACAGGCTTCAGATTCAGAGACGTAAACATAACACAGACCCTGCTCAAAACAAGAGAGGAAAAAAAAACAAAAAAAACAAAAACAGGAGGAACATGAAGAATAAAAACAAAACATTCGTTGGTGTTTTGGGGCAGCTTGTAAATTTGAAAATGCAGGGCAGTTTTAATGGTGGTGATGACCCCTACAGTCAAAGAGCCAAATCCTCGAGGAATAAAAAAAACCAAGCTGTGTGGACCTCCTCGTCCCTCCTGGACAACGGTGTCGTGTACAGGAACAGCTGCGGCCTTTGGACTGGTTGGGCCTTAGAAGGCCTGCTGGGCTGGGTTGTAGTTGAATGTTGTTGGCACGTGAGGCCTCTCTTCCAGCTTGTCGTACTCCAGATGAAATTCCTTAGAGAAACAGATAGTTTTAAGATAATAGCTCTAATCCTCAAAACTAAAAATAATAAAACTTGATAATATCAACTCTTACCTTGGCTACTTTCCTCCAGTTAAGACAATCAAAAAAGTAGTAGGTACCCCTCTCATAGGTGTTAGTCTTCAGTGTAGGCTCCATGCCAGGTGCCCTAGTTATCCAAACCCGTTCCTCTTTGTGGTACCTCCAGTCCCGGTTAAAGCTGGAGAGTGAAGAACACATTAATAAGTATTACAATAAATAAATAAATAAAACGCTGCCACCTGGTGGCTAACCAGGGACCAAGAAAGATTCATTTCAAGAGTTTCACTTACACTTCCAGCTATTTCTACAAAAACTAAAAATGATTATGTTCATACAAAAGAAGAAAAATTATTCCATAAACAAACAATATTGTACCTTGTTAAGTGTTAATCTATGAGTACACAGCAGAATCGATCATCATTTTAAAGCTTTACAAGCGTTTTTTCCAAAGGTTTGTTTATAAGAGATGTACTTGTGTAGTTCGACTTTAAAACCCTGACTTGGCCGTTTCGAGCACTGCCATGTAGGGCTGGGCCATATTATACCGTTCACGGTAATACCGGTATAATGTTAGGCAACGATAGGAAAATGAAATATCGCGATAGAATGGGAGTAAAACGCGCATGCGCAGTGCCTTTGTTTTCATACGCACATGGTCGATTGTTGAGTGAAACAGATGAACCAGAATTGGTTTGTAAAAATGGTGCAACTTCCGTGATGTGGAACTGGTTTGGTGTTTGTCCGTCAGATACACGACAAAGCACATTTTTTTTGCAGAACATGCAAGCGGCCGTTGTTATTGTCGTATTTGTCGGACTAAGATGCTCTTAAATCTGGGAGTAATCTGGGTCCTAAACCCCGTATTGTTCAGGTCAAACAACACTGCAGCATCACTTAGAGTTAAAAACTGTCTAAATTCTTTCATCTTTAATACAACGATCAGCATTGCTGCTTTACCAGGTGTAACTATGAAGTTTAACTTCCAGGCATCCATGAAAACAAAAGTTATTACATTTAACGGAGTTAGAAGCTAGCAGGAAGCTAGCGGAAGTTAGCTCGCTAGTTTCGCTAGTTACCTAAGCATGATATTGCATGTTCTGACTGAGAGATTTCTGAAAAAAATCAAACGTACAGCTCTGCTATCACTTCCAACATAAATGAAGACAGGAAACTAAACAGCAGTGACGTTTGTAGGGTTACTGAAGTTGGGCTAGCTGGTATATAATGATGTGCTACGTGATCGCTAGCGACACAGCTATGTTAGCATAACATAAACAGTGAAGCTGGAGGACGAACACTAACACTTTTCCACTTATAAAAGTTAACGTGAAGGTTCTTCATGGTTAGAGACAAATGCAATCGCATGGCAGGATGCTGTAAACGGACCAAACTTCAGTCAGGAGAACAACTGAGATAATCCATCCACAATATGAGGTTAGTCATTAATAGACTGCAACAACATGGGAATAGAGCAGCTGCCAGAGAATTCAACATTAATGAATCAATGGTACAGAAGTGGAGGAAGCAAGAAGAATGAGTTTAATAAAGTTTGATTTATCTGACTGCTTTGTTTCGCTTAATGTGCCTTATAATCCCGTGCACCTTATGGTCCGAAAAATACATACTGCACACTGCAGTTTAATGTTGCAAAGCACCTCTTTTTAACTTCAGTGGATATTATACATGGTTATGCTCAGGATATGTCAGCCCATTTCTACTGGAAATGCCTTTTGGTTAAACTTTCAGCAAGGAATTTGCATTTGCACTGTTACATTTTTATAAAGCTTTAATGTACATAAAAACCAGCTTCTTGTTTAAGTGAAAATAAATGGAAGGTTGTCTTTTTGCGCTAGTAATGTTGTGGAGTTGTATTTTGTCTCGCATCAATTATATCGTCGGTTATATCGTTATCGCAAATTTTCAAATATATATCGTGATAAATATTTTTGGCCATATCGCCCTGCTCTACTGCCATGTAGTGTTTTTGAAATCTGGTCACAACTGAGGGGTGGAAATAACAGAACCTGTTGTGTCATCTATTCAACTCCAAATAGGACAAAAAACAGAAACTGAGATAAACAGGTTACCTCAAGTGATGAGTATGGTTCATTTTCCCCCCCATGGACTTCTACACAAGAAGAAGTCATTAAGAATGAATGCAGATTTGAAAACACTTCTGCATACCCTTTACTTTTTAGATCAGCAAGCTATGTTCATCGTTAATAAGTAGTCTAGGCTTTTTCTTAATGTGCGTTGGTTCAACCCTCCTGGCTTCCGCTCTCAGTTGTGTCTTCCGAGGCCTTTGGACTGAACGGGCCTTAGAAGGCCTACTGAGCTGGGTTGTAGATGAATGTTGCTGAACTTGTGTGTCAGGAAAAAGTCAATTATATTTGCATCTGCTGAGAGAATCCCTGTGGTTTAGAATTTAGATTCAGTTTTATATAATGTTCTAGCTTGTTTTTCTGTTTACGGATTGCTTAATTTCCTCTTCACAAAACTGTCTCATCTGCTCGCCAGTGAAACGTTTTTAATACGAAGCAGCAACTGCAAAGACTGTCGACTTTACACGACTCCTTTAAACTTCTTTGCTAAGTAAGGTGATCATCTCCTGGACAGACAAACACCTTTGTGCCCGTTTCTAGCAAAAAGTCAGTACTCACAGCTCCACTGCTGCCAGAAGCTGTAGCAGATCTCCTCCATTCATGTAGTACAGGTAGAACAACAGGTCTTCACCGTATCGAGACAGTTTGATGGCAGCCAACTAGAGTCAAGACAAGACAGTATAGATTAATTTTATTTTACTACATTAATCTTTGAACCGCTTACATTGAGCTCAAGTTCATGGTTACCTTGTCCCTTATGTGGATATTTGTTAAATACTCCGATGGAACATGGAAGTCTAAAAATGCAGATACAGATATAGGTTAGCAGCACACACAAGAGTGTCTAAAGCAGTGTGTAACTGTTTTAATTCACTGTGGCTTTGAAAATTTATGCTACCGATATGCCAAAAATGTGGTCTCCAGGTCGGATAAAAAAAGCAAAAACCAGGAGGCCTGCCAGAATCTAAATCTTATTAATTAACTCTGTCAACAGCCAACTACTTGTAATAAAATAGTTGAAGGTTTTTTTAGCTGCACTAATTTTAAAGGGCCACATGTATGTCTGTACTTTAATTTCCACAACAACAGTTTTTGTTAAAAAAGAAAAAAAAAACATGACTAAAAATGTAAATATTTTACAAAAATACTAAGATTGCATTGCATCCTTTCTCTGCTCCTCCTCAGCACTAATGCAAATGTCTTGACACCTGCTCTGACTCTGGTCTTGAAAGCTACTCAGGACTGTCATACATCAAATTAATGTCTTACCGATGTCTTGAGGTCGACAAGGTGCGGAAGCCCAAGGAGAGGCAAACTTGGGGTACAAGTTTCTGTCAAAGAGTTTAGTTGCAATCAGTTCTTGCTAGTATTAATATCAAAAGCAGACTGTTTGCTAAACGTTTTAGATAAAACAGGAAGAAATGTCAAAAACTCTGAAAATACCAACTTTTACCAACCTACTGATGCAGTCAGCAGGGGGCAAACTTAACTAATGGAGTCTCTTTCCTCTTATTTCTTTATTACCTCTGAGTAAGAATGAAATTTGATGTATATCAAAAATCATAGACCCTGAAACTTAAAAGACCAGCGTGTATGATTTAGTGCTCCTCCCGTGACTGTTACAAATGCAAAAGGTTCCTAATGTATAAAAATGACAGTGAAGGGACTCACCCCTTCTGCAGATAATAAAAAGCTAATTCTAAGGCAACAAAGACACTGCGCCTCTTGTATTCAGCCACTGATACATTAATGACAATACGATTACATCCATCCAAAGAAACGGTGGGGAACTAAATAGATTCATTCATTAAAAATAAAAGCAGACAGATGTAACATGCATTATTGGACTAAAAAATTTTATTGTTTCTTTGTGTGTGTGTTTTTTATAGGAAAAATCAGTATGTATTTGCAGGGTAATGAAATTTGTCTTACTCTGGTGAGTTTAAGTTGAGTCCCAGTGTTGTGAGGTCACTTCCTAACGCCAGATGGACCATCCCCGGATCAGTCTCTGCTGCCCGGATAAACGTCAGTAGGCCAATCATGCCAAATTGATCCGTCACCATTCCTGCGGGAATGTTCGTCACCCGACCTGCAGCAGCAAGACAACTCAAGATTAAAACAAACTGTAGAAACTGGACTCTGAGCTAGATTCAGTACTTAATGTCAAATCACCTCTGCATTAATAACTACACTTTGTGAACAAACCAACTAAATACCTCTTTGAACTCATGATCACAGGTAAATTAATGGAAAAGTGATTATGGCTGTGTTACAATGAACGTTATTTTGTTGGTTTCCTCACTGTAGCTTAGTTGATAATTATCTAACCCCAAATGCAGGTTAGCACGTCCAACTGCCTCACTCAAGGCAATTAAGAAGGGTTGTTTTGGTGGAATAGCAGCAATACGATTGGCAGTGAAGACTCACCATCAGGCAACACCTGAATCCCTTTCTTCTGGTTGTTGTTCTGTGCTGAGGCCGTCTTGTCTCCGGGAAACTTGGGCCCATCTGCATTGGATGTGCTCTTGTTTGTGGAGTTCAAGTTCTAAAGGGAAGGGGGAAAAAATCAATAGGCAGGAAAAATAATGCATGTATTTATTTCAATTCTTTTGATCTGTACCCTTCTCACAAAAAAAATAAAAAAGTTCTGCCAGTGTGCTGTGTGACTTACAGTTTTGCTGTCATCGTTGTTCAACGTGGGATCCTTATAGTTTGGCCCAGGCAGTGCAGGGAAGTCCTCATTGTGGATGGAGAAATCCTGTGTCTGCTCAGTTGATGGCTTTGTCACCATGCCAACTTGATGATGAAAGTGTAACAGCAAAGAAAAAAACAAAACAAACAAAATGGTACAATCAGCAATGATAGTCTGTCGTGTGCAGTGTAACAAAAGCTTAGCTAACATTATGAAGCTCATCTGATGGTTTTCAGCTGAAATCCATTTCCAATGTTGATGGAATGTGCTGTCAGTGATTCATGTGAGGAAAATAAGACACTTTCTACAGTCTAATGGCTTACCATAAGGCGCTCGTCCAGTCAGTGGGTTGAGAACTGGTGTAGGGTTTCCGGTCCCTTCTCTCCGACTCCTATCTGCTAATGCAGGGAAGTCTGACAAATCCAGTCCTGTTACATTTTCACTCCCATCTGTTACACAAGGACAATACAAACATGTGAATCCTTAAATACACTATTTTTGTAAATATGTAATAATGTAGCCTTATTGTAAAGTAGATTAAGGATGTAGCAGCTCTCCCCTTTTTTTATGTGTATTTATGTAACAGTTTAAAAAGAGTCAGATCAGTTTAATGAGATTTTTATTCAGACCTAATTTCCTGCAATTCATTTCAAGGATACACAGTTTATGTATGATGGGTAGCACTGTTTGCTGCTGTTAACTCTTGTAAGACCCTAACAGCAGCATTAATGGAAAGCTGTGATTTTGTGCAGGAAACAGTATTATTTATCAGGCTGTGGCTGTTTTTTATGCTTTAAACACACACAGACAGAGCAATGTTAGTCTAAAAGTAGCTGAAACCTAATGGTTACCTGATGGTTAGACAAAAGTGAACAACCAACCTGTGCCGTTGAAGATGTTGCTTGATAATGAGTTGTTCATGAAAGCTTGATTGCGGTTCATCCCAAATCCTGACATGCTGCACAGACAGAAAAAAATAAGAAAAAAGAAAGAAAAAGGATACAAACATTTCCTTAATTAGAAAAAGATGTTTTAGAAAGCAACTGTACACACAAAAGGACACACCGAAGGTAACCCATGCCAGCACTATGAAGCAAGATTTGAGCTCATCCAGGTAACTTCAAGGTTAACCCTGGCTTTTCATTATTACAAAGGTGGTACATCACCATGGTAACTTACATCCTAACCTGTTTCAGAGCATGTTACGTTCACAGTTAAAGATAAACAGGTACAAAACCAGTGCCTACTCATCAGTTTTCTGCAAAATGTCACTGTTCCTTGGATTTCAGTGCATGGATAAAGTTGTGTAGTTCACTGTGTTGGATTAGAAACAGATTCTTAGACATAAGTTTATTTTTCCTGTTGGGTGCAAACCATTTTATTGTTCTAAATTTACAAACGGGGCGCCTATTTTTACTTATTTGTTTTGAACTTTTTTTGTTTCTTTTTTTAAAATCTCAGCTGAAAGATTAAAAAAAAAAAAAAAACATCTTGTGTACATCGAAACTTTAATGTAAAGTAAATATTCACTGTATTAGTTTCTCCTGTTCTTGATTGAGCTGTGATAGCTGTGAGGTGCCTGTTAACTTCAGCAGCTTGCATTCTTACCCGCTTTCTTTCAGGCTGTAATAGGCTAAACTTTATTAATACAGTAGGACTCTGGGAGTCTCCCTGATCAAACACTTAAAGCGCACATACATTCATATGGCGCTTTTAATACTACGCTACTATTTAATAAAAATTAAACTCTCTCTCACACACACACACAGGTTTGGGTTCAGCATGTATTATTTTCTTCAGATTTTTCCTCATATTACAGTTTTGTCATTTTCTGCAAAATCAGCTGCTCTGCTGCCAACAGACTTATCCACATTTCAGATTGGTCAAAAGCTGTAAACAGCACCTCTTTCATGCTGGTAGCTAGATTGAGAAACCCTGGGTTGCCTTGTTAAGTTGATAATCAGCTTCTTGTGACTGCTTGGCTCAATCACCAGTTTTAAGATAACTGAACCCAGATAGCAGAAAGACATCCTGTGTATGTTGAATTTGCATCATAGTACAGGGCCATGTTCCTTTGAAACACTGGTGGATATGTGCAATAAATACTAAATCCATCTACCTGTTTATGGTAAAGGGCTGGCGTGCTGGCTGCTGTTTGGGCATACAGATGATACTGGGTGAGCTACGGTTGGGGCTTCCCAGCCCCGAGCTGCCCATGCTGTTGGTCCTGCCGCTTATCCCAATGCCTTGACCGACCTGAGAGTGATTCAGCACGTTCCTCGAATTCATCGGTAACGTCCCCCTGTTAAAACATCATCGTCCAATTTAGTGAATTCAAAGTTTTCTTAAACAGCACGATTAATCAGTCAAGTTCACACTCACCTGCTTGGTGATGGTGGGGTATGGAGAGACATGGTGGGGACTCCTGTTGTGGGGGTGATATGACTCGGTAGCTGCGACCCTTGCGTTAGACTTCGGTTTAACTGAGGTGTGTTGTTTCCCATGCCTCTTACTGAGAAGCCGAGTGCACCTGCACAAAGACAAAAGAAAGCTTTTCAGTTATCTGTTCAAATAACACAATCAAACTTTAAGTAACTCTAGTTCAGAGGTAAAAAGCAGAATTGTCTTTACGATTTTAAGTCCATCACAAATGACAAAACTGATGTAACAGGCTGTAAGATAAAGGTCAGCACTCACTTTGTGGACCATATAAACTCGCACCGAGCTGCGACAGCTGACCCGATGACGATGGTGAGGGAGAGGACAGCATCTGGAGAAAAACATTCAAGGACAGAACAGAGTAAGATAAATGTGGAAAAAAAATCTCAACAGGTAAGAAAGGTGTACCAGCACACAAAACTCACATCTTTATCCGACCGATGTGGAAACATCGTCGGCTGGTTGTAGTACATGCTTTCATCGGTAAAGTCGTTATCGACAACGTCAACGAACTCTACAAATTTCTTTCTAGCACCAAACATGCCTTTTGTCACCTGAAGAGAGAGAAAGGAACATTAATTAAAATGTGCATGTGAAAGAAAGCAGACGCTCAAGAGTGAACTTTTTGAACTTATACTGTGGCTTAGATTTGAATTTTAATTCTCTTTAGATTTCTACTTGAACTAGATAAAATTCAGAGCCAGTAAGGTTCAACCTATATATATATATATATATAGTACATATAGTACATATATTTATTAGTTTCAGATGTAGCCATTCTTGTATTTTGCTTGTTTACATTATTGTATTTTGCACAACTCTGTTGCTTGTGAAGCTCGCACACAAGAATTTCACTCACATGTGCTGTACCAATGTACCTGCACATGTGATGTGACAATAAAAGTGATTTGATTTTGATTTGACCTATACAATATTTTCTGGTCAACTTCTACACTAGCCTAAAAATGTTATGGTTTCAAAATTGGACATTAAATTTTTTTTTTAGTTTTAGTATTTATAGAATAATTCTTGCAGCATTCATTCAGGCAGTCAGCGTGGCAATTGCCTGATCTCTGCTCACAGTTGCAGCAGCAGGGTAAGAATTAGGAACAGGGGTACGCATTTTCTGCTAAAGACTCTCTCCGAAATGGTCCGTCGGCCAAATTGGTTTGGTCAAGATAATGCACAGACAAACATATGTCACCACTAGTACCCTGCACCTTATACTACTCTACTAAGTCTGTGATGGGGAGAAGAAATTAGCAAGGAGACATTGCAGGGATCAGAAGTGGATAATAAATTGGCATCAAGCAATCCAAACCACCCGTTAAGGTGTATTGTGTGTCCTAAAACCCCCTCAGCATTCCTCTGGGGTAAGGAAGGTGGAAGCAGGTTCAGAAGGGTAAGCAGGCAGGGGGTGAATCCCAGTTTTGGTTCCTCCTGGGTTTTGAATAGGAGTCAGCTCAAGGCATACTGGCTAATAGGTAAGGATTGGAGTTAAAGAAGCACATACGGGGAATTAAGATTAGAATTTAGCTCCTAGGGTTAGAGTCTTGTATCAGACTGCCAATTGCACCTTGTGTTGATGGCAACTTGGCCTTGGAACACTACTGACTCATTACTCCTGTTTTGCTATACTTATTTGTATTTGGGATTTTATTTTATTTTTTACATGAGTACTTGTTGCATTTTTAATCCCTGTGACTACATTTTAAACTTAGAGCAAGGGTCAGGGAGCAAGTGAAAATAACAAATTTGCATAGATTATGTTTAGCAGAAGTACTTTCTCAGTTATAATGAGAGCACATTGGAAACCAGAGAAATCTGTTCTAATCTGGTAAGACTACTGGGCTGAAATTTTTGTTATGCAGTACAACTTGTTAGGCTTCCTCAATCCAGAATGGTAGATGAATAAAAATAACTATTTCTTCATTTCTGTGATTAAGCATTCTACATGTTTGATTTTGTACTATTGTGAAATATGTCAATACCTTCCAGAAACTGTCTCTAACTAATAACTAATGTTATTCTTTTTTGTTAGTCTATGAGACGGTTTTTTTTAAACACATTTGAATAATTCTTGGAACTTTTTACTGTATTTGCTCCCATTTAAAGAACCTGATTCACTTTCATGGTAAAAGAAGCCAGTTCTCTTTAACAGATTCTCAGATATTCGAGTTCAAACACTGCTTTAGATATCAAATCAATGTGTGGGGGGAAACACACACGTATATATCATCGACAAGCCTAAATCCACAGACGATCTGTGGTTAGTTGTCCAAGATGTTTAGAACAACCTACCAGCCGAGCTCCGTCAAAAACTGTGTGCAAGTATACCTAAAAGAATTGATGCTGTTTTGAATGCAAAGGGTGGCCACACCAAATACTGATTTGATTTAGATTTCTCTTTTGTTCCTTCACTGCATTTTGTTGTTTGATTAAAATAAATGATTAACACTTGCATTTTTGAAAGCATTCTTTGTTTACAGCATCTTTCCTCACCTGCCTAAAACTTTTGCACAGTACTGTATATCTCAAGTACTTTATATTTAAAGTACTTCCTATGCGATGCTGAAATTTCACAGCAATCAGTCTATATGTTTAAACTTTGGACTACACTTTTTTAGGCAAATCAAAGACGGCTGAGCAGAAAATGTTGTTAAAAACCCCAATGATCTGAGACTGAATAGCCCATGTCTGAAACTAACAGCACCGCATTGTATTGTTTGTGCAACTGGAACTTTACTGCCGCCACACAGCGTTGATATTTCATAACCTTTGTATAAACAAAAAGATATCTTATATGACTGCAAGGCTAAGTTAAATGGAAGCATCTGGAAATGCAATATGTTATAATTTCTTTGTAATTCAATGGGCTACAACTGGCACCTTACGGTTCTTAAAATAAACTTTTGAATAGTTGCTTTCTCTACGAATTTAAAATGAAGATTGATTTATTTGACTTTTACAACAAAAAAAACAAAAACTGCAGCCCTACGATACCTGTTAACTAAATGAGATGACAGCAGAACTGGTTGTTAAGTTCCATCCCGTTAAACTTTACTATTGATGTGTTTAACAGCAACAAAGCTAACAGGCTAGCCAACACTAGTTTAGGTAGCTAACATTAGCAGGCTAGGTGCTTGTCACTTTGAGTTAGCTTAGCTAGCTTAACGTCAGCTTGCTAACTGGCTACTCTAAAAACAACCAAAGTAACAGAGCGTTTAAACTGAGAAATACACAGTGGTTTAGCTACCAGTAACACTGGCCCTCTTTGCCTCCGTTTATCCACTGTCAGCTGTGTGTTTTCACGGCTCAGTTTATGCTCCGATTGCAGGCAGTGGCAGTAGGAGCAGATAGACCAATAGCGACAATCTGCGGATGCTAAAGGCTAACGACGTGCTACGTATTTAAACGAAAGAAAGCAAGGGAGGTAAAAAGCTCCAGCTGACGGAGTTTAATTTACATAGGGCAATTTTAACATAAGAACAAAAATAAGTAAAATAATCTCACCGCATCAATTTCCCTTCGCTTCGTTAGATCCAAGATGGCTGTGAGTATTCTCAATCGAAAGAGGTCTAGCCTTTACCCCCTGACCTTACAACCTGCTGATCACTTCCGTACACAAAAACGAACACATCTGATAGTTTCCCTAACAGGGTGCTGGGAGAAGAACCAACAGATATCCAGAAAAGTACTTCACGGAGGGGGAAAGAAAAAAAGAAGATTTTGCAGTCATTTAAAGCAAATATGACACTGTCGAGTTTTTGTCTCCCTCGTGTGAACATCAGGTGTCTCACTCCAGTAAAATAAATGTGTGGATTTACATACTGCAGAGGATGTGATTGTCAGCAATAAAAGTTTGGTTACCAACCACATTTGACACATATCTCATAGAGTATCCCAAATCTCACAGGTTTCTGTGCAAAAACATGAACTTTGCATGTTGACAAGGGCCTTATGTCACAACTGGGTTTTTGGTTGTTTTTTACTTAACGTTTTTTGTTTGTTTGTTTTTACTCTACATTTAATCAAATTAGCACACAACAAACTGGGGGCTATATCTGTTCATATCTTACATAAAATGAGTAGTTGAGAAAAGCCTGGTAGTCAGAGGTATTTTAAAGTGGACCTGCAGGAGCTAACACTGTTCACAGTGGCATGAATTACTCAGTGAGGTTGGAAAACAGCAGCTTCACATGAATTTAATATGGCCCGGAAACTTAAAACCACATTGTATGGACTTCCTCAGCAGATGGCGTCTTAAGGCTGTTATAATGATCCTTTATCAGTTAGTTTGCCAAACACTTAAAGTGTTTGGCAAACCATCAATCATCATTATTTATCTGCTGAGGAAAAGAACTGGACATAGCTGAAAGCTTTGGGAACAACAAGTAAGCCTAGTGTAAGGGGGGGAAATAAATGGGTTTTACAGTAGAAAAGGCAGGTATAAAATTAATGATGTTTCCATTCCAGTTACTTCACCCTGGAACCATATATTATATCTGTGCTTCCCTTCCTGTGAGATATCCAGATTTTTAATATGAACAGGATCTTTTATGACAGTCACACTATTGTGCTCTGGCAGTAAGTGGCTGCGGGAAAGTGATAAAAACAGTGTGTCAGTGAGTGAAAGCAGATGAGGGTCAACTATTGCCCCCTCAGATAAGGACAATGAAATCCCTTCCTAATTTTATCTAGTTGGAAAATAGCCCCAATGAAGATATGTCAGATAGCATGGACACTTCACACCTCTTGTAAGATATCCAGCTTACTTACAGGATATTCATCTTTGAGTATAAGCTTGCATGAAGATTGTTTGGATTTGGAGGATTTGACTTGCTATGTGTTCATTCTAAATGAACCCATTTCCAAGACTATACAATGTGGCATTGGCAAAACACAGATCTACAGAGATTTTCCATAACTGAAAACATAGTATACTCTAATCAAAGTAATCTGATATCCCTGCAAACACTGGCAAATTGCTAAGAACATTTCACCTGTTGAGCCCAGTGGCTTCCACCCAAGACTGCCTCTGGGATGATTACAGCAGAATGCAAATGACCTTTGTTGCTCTTTCATCACAAAGCACTTATTCTGCTTATCCATGTCACCCTGCCCCTCCCTGTTTCTCTCTCTCCCACCTCTGTCATCTCAGAGAAGAAGAGGGGAAAGTCATTAGGCACAAATGGGGAGGAGAGAGCTAGTGGTTGCTATAGCCATGAGAGTCTGGCAGAGCTTGGAGCCACAGAGAGATAGTGAGAGGACTGCACTGGGAAATATCTGCCCAGGGAATACAATAAGTTTTCAGCTCATTAAGTTGGATAAACAAATGGCTTACTGTAGGAGATACTGGGAGTCATACTGGATATCATCAGCAAGACATTAGAAAGAAGGTATTTTGAATTTTTTGTATGAACATCTTAACACTTACAATGTTTTTCTGTTTAATTTTATTATATATTACCTTGACACAACACCCCCTTTATTACATTAAAGGATGCACTTCATAATATAACTGATGTGTCATCCTCCTTCCTAAGCTGTTGTATGATTTCACTGTTTCTTTTTTCTTGATTATCAAGATGAATAAACGCAGAGGGGAAGTGGAGGAGTGTTAATGGAACACCATGAAATTCACTTGAAGATAAAGGAGATGGATGTCGAGTAACAGTCTTGTGGCAGAAACAGTAAGAAAAATGGGCAATGCCATGAGAAGTATTCTCGCCTTCATTCCTTCTGAACGCTGCCAGCGCTTCTTAGTTGGGGACCTGAAGGAGATGCCACTAGATCGGACCCTGGACCTGAATAGCCGACAGCTGCGAAAGCTGCCTGTTGCTGCCTGTCTCTTCAATGAGTTGGTGAAGCTTTACCTGAGTGACAACAACCTCAGCAGCTTACCGGCTGAAGTGCAGAGCCTGAGAAAGCTGCAGCTTCTGGCCCTTGATTTTAACTGCTTTGAGGAGCTCCCACTAGCCATATGCAGGTTGCCCCAGCTTAGTATTCTTTACTTGGGTAATAACAGGCTTTATCACCTCCCCGTAGAGCTGAGAGAGCTTAGGGAACTTAGCACTCTGTGGCTGGAGACTAATTGCTTCACTGTTTTCCCTAAGGTTGTTTGTGAGCTCTCAAATCTAAAGACCCTGCACCTCGGATATAACCAGATACGGAGTTTACCCAAAGAATTTGGACGGCTGCACGAGCTGCGAAGTATTTGGCTTGCTGGGAACCAACTGCCAGATTTCCCACCAGTGTTACTTGAAATGCACTCTCTGGCTGTTGTTGATGTAGATCGGAACAGAATACGTCATTTTCCTAGCCTTTCTCACATGCAGGGGTTAAAACTTGTGATCTATGACCACAACCCCTGTGTTAATGCCCCAGCAGTGGCTGAGGGAGTCAGAAGGGTTGGGCGATGGGCTGATAGCTCAGATGACGAGCAGGAAGATGATGCTTCAAAAGCAGCAAGTGAGACTACAGCTGAGGTTGTCGAAGTCCATCCTGAAGAGCAACAGAACATTCAAGGTTAAGGACCAAAGTGACCTTCAGCTGTGGGGAGCCGGGATTGACTGGCCAGGCTCGAGTGGCGTCCTGGAGCACTTAAAGCAGAGTGGCATGACAAATACCGTCAGGGTGATGGTATTTGGTCCATATATGGTAAAGCCAATCATTTAAAAGGGAAAGCTCACCTCTGAAATCAAATCTACACACACACACCCTCAACTGGCCTGCTGTGCTACTTGTCTATCAGATTGTTTGGTGAGAGTTGGCCAGTTTTAGATATACTAGTTATGTTTGCATTTACATATCTTAGGATTATGACTTTATTTTGGATTGAACTGTCCTTATAAAGGCCATAAAGTAATGAAATCCAAAATGCATAGTCTGTAAAATGGGATATTTGAATCACGACATAAAAGCAACATTTAAAAAAACAAAATAAAAAGACTGCATGCCTTGAAATTATTCATTTCAACACCGTAAACTTTTTAATTGATCTTTTCCCTCTGGAATGTTGCATGTATTATATTGTTTGTGTATTGCCAAGTTCACATAGTATGTTTGCAAGGCAATGTGTCAAAACAGGCATTAACATTATTCTAGTAAATCAGCCATGCAGCTGTTGCTGTCCAGTGATCTGAGAATTAGTTTCTACTTTTATACTTTTATAGTCAGTATAATTCACAGTTTGTGACTTCTGATTTTACAATGCAAAGCATTAGAAAACATTTTGTTCCAGCAGTGCAAGATAGTATCTGCACCTGCTGAGGATTTTAATACCAGAGATGGATGGTTTAAGTCAATTAGTGCACTCTGTATCCAGACCAATGCATAATTCATCGACTAGATTGGAGCTGTGGCTTTGAATAAAGACTGCTAATGGGCCATAATGTCGTTGCTGTAAGGTTCTGGTTTGAAACAGATCATACATGCAATTTTGCAATTCCCCTGTGTACCAGGAAAATGTTCTGTAAACAAGCTTAAAAGTAATTCCACGATATATGATCTGGGCATTTGGAAACTTTCTAAACAAAATGCATAAAAAAAAAAAAAGATTGAAAGGGCTTGAAATTGTTTTTTCTTCTGGAAATGTGATTATTTACGACTGGTTTCTGTGCTTCCACCTTTCATAGACCTTTATATTATTCTATAAATATGTATTTGATTTTTTAAATATATGAATGCATAATATTTTACCTAAATGTATACTTATATTACATTATAGTATTTATTATGATTTCAGGTAATCTTTTACATTTGTATGGTCCTATTATAAACTACATATATATCAATCTGATTTTGTTATGTTTTATGTGCTTAACATTATGTTTTAATGTAACAATGGAATAAACTTATTTAATCTTATATTAAACACAACACCTATTTTGTTTTTTAAATCAGTATAGTTAAATTTGAAGGTTTGTGAATGTATAAACATCTTTATGTTTAGTCATTCAAAAGCATTCACCAGAGTTTTGGTACGTTTTTACCTTTATAACAAAATCAGACGTCATGTGAAGTTGCAGGATTTTTTTCAAACCAATAGCTGTAATGTTATTTAATCTATGCTTAAGTGTGACACATACCTATATATAGATTTCATGCTTAATACAAGCCAACAGCATCAATGTTAACCCTTTAAGTATCTGCAGATCACAACTTATTACAAACCATTTGAGTTTGCATTGCTGCTCTCTCTGCACACACACACTCACTGACCACTTTATTGGGTACACTGTGCTAGCACCAGGTTCAATCTGCTTTTCCCTTAAAAAACTGTGTTAATTCGCATAGATTCAACAAGATGCTGGAAACATTCCTCTGAGCTTTTGGTCTATGCTGAAATGATAGCATCACATGATAAAAATCTCCTGTAGCGCCACATGTCAAAGGTGCTATGGGATTGAGATCTGATAAGTGTGTAATTCACTGTCAGTTTGAAGAAACGAGTTTGGGCTTTGTGTACCCTGCTGGAACTAGCCATCAGAAGTTGCTTAGAATTTCCAGTAAATTATCTGTACAAGAGATTGGAACAAAAAGAAGTAAACATATTTTTGTTTAAAATGTTAAAAACCCAGTATTCAGGACATGTTTACTGGAGATACAAGTTAACTTATCTTGTCGATGATTTTACATTTCTCAA